TTATGGGGAGACTCAGTGCTGCCACGTGTGCTGGACCCGTGTCCCTCTTGGTTAGTCTCGGCTTCCCGGGAGGTGGCGAGGACCCTCCTTAAGAAGCCTTCCCTGGACCCAGCTTCTTTAGCCAACTATCGTCCGGTCTCCAACCTTTGCTTTTTTGTAGCGAAGGTTGTTGAGAGTGCGGTAGCACGTCAGCTTCCCCAGTTCCTGGATGAAGCTGTCTATCTGGATCCGTTTCAGTCGGGTTTCAGGCCCGGATACAGCACAGAGACGGCATTGGTTGGGTTGGCCTTGGAGGTGTCTGGCGGGCCCGGGACAGGGGCTGTTCCTCTGTCCTGGTCCTATTAGACCTCTCAGCGGCTTTCGATACCATCGACCATGGTATCCTACTGCGACAATTTGGGGGGTTGGGAATGGGGGGCACCGTTTTATGGTGGTTCTCCTCCTACCTGGCCGTGATTGGGGGGGCTTTTACGAGGTTCGCCTGGTACGTCAGTTGCGCCCCTTCCTGGATCAGGATGCTCTGTGCACAGTCACTCATGCCGGAGCAGCCGCCTCAGGACTCCCGCCACTAGCTGGAAGCAGCTGGTCCTCCCGCCAGCCTCCCCGAGCGCCAGCCAAACCGGCAGCGGCAGGAGAGCTGGCCTGGATGGATGGGTGTGTGTGGGCGGCCTTCCCTCGGGAGCGCTCTGGGCTTAGCCGTGAATAGCTCCTCCCCGCCCAGATGCGCATTTCTGCCTCGGTTCCCCTCATTCCCTACAGCTCCCTAAGGGCGTTTCCCCTCCACGCCCCCCCCCCCTCAGCTGAGCTATTGGCTACACCGACCCCCTTCGTCTTTCCTCCAAGCATCGCTCAGGGACTCCTGGCAGGGGGGCGGCAGGGGGGGGGCTTCCTTTCCCTCTAATTGCCAGGGTGGACTGAAAAAGGGGAGGTGGCGGTGGAGGGGGGGGGAGATTACCTGCCCGCGTCCCATCCGAGGCGCCTGGGAGAGGAACCCAGAGAAGGTCTAAGGCTCCATTCTCCCTGCCACTCTGCGCCGGGCAGGGACTTCTTTGCCAGAAGCTGCCGTTTCATTCCCCCCCCCCCCCCCCCCAACGGCTTTGGGTTGCCTGGGCAGCCAGGAGAAAGGGGCGGAGCCTGAGAGCAGCCCGGAGCCCAGGAAGCAAGTGCGCTGCTAGGCGACGCGTCAACTCCCAGATTGGCCCCTGGCGCAGTCGCTGGGCCTGTGCTAAGAGGGGCGGCCTTGGAGGGAGCCCCTGCAGTTCCTGCCTGCTGATTGCTCCCAGAGAGCAGCTGCTTTAAGAGCCCCGTTGGCCAGCAGAAGGGCATCGTCTGGCCTCCTGTAGGCAAGCTTTGCATTTTGCAATGACAGGTAAAAGTTGAATTTCCCGAGTTAGCTCCACACCCCACCCCACCCCATGAGATGCAGGCCCCTGAAGAGATGGGTGGGGGTGGAATCCCAGAGCTCTGAGAAATGGCAGGGTTTCCATCTGGCTTATTCGGGAGGCTTAGCGTTGCTCTTCTTCTGGGTGGCCCTGATGGGCGAAGGGCAGAGGAAGCAGGAGGGCTGAGTGATGTTTTGAGGGCTTTGGATCAGCAGCCTCTCTCTGGACCTGTGTAGGTTGTGCTCCACTGATTCTCAGCCTGCTAATGACGTTGGCTGTGCAAGGAACTGTTGCCAGGAGTGTTGGGCTCGTTGGGTCTCTCAACTACTTGGGCGACAGAAGACGCTTTCTCTGAGGATGCCTTGAATTTAGATGATGAAACTTTGGGGAGAAGATGTGCAGAGATTCTGGATAACCTGTGATGACAGTTCTCATCACCTCCTGCTTTGAGTGGGCTGAGGCAGTAGCTATGTTGAGCAGGAGAAACAAATGGTAGACCTGTACAAGAAACGTGTGCTGACAGCAGGCCAGCCTCCCAGAGGACGTGCTTAGATTTTGCCCACCTTGGAAGGACACAAGTGGCCTCAATACATCCTCTTGGGTGGAGATGGCCCAGCCTCAATTATCTGTGTCTTCCAGGGTTGGCAAAACCAGCCATGTACCAGTCTCCTCTGCTCAGAAAAGAGTTTGCCTACATTGTCTGTAGAGACAATGGTTGGCTGGGATTGACCCCTTCTGTTCCCTGCTCCCCCCCCCCAAGCACTATTCAGGATGCTGCCTTTGACCTGCCATGTCTGTTCGGGATAGAATCAGGGGGGACCCTGAGCTTTGCAAACTTGCCATTCCTCAAGAGGCTGGCACAATGCCAAAGGAACATCTCTTCTACTTGCCTCCCATTGGCAATGAAAATGCTATTTTCTCAAGATTGACTGGTTACAATTTTTCTTGCTATACTAGATGCTTAAAATTACTTTTCAAAGGATGTAGCTTGCCTTCTTGGAAGGTTTATCTTGAAAGA